ATTAAATAAATTAAATATTTTTAATAAGGGCGAATATTTAATTTTTTCATTAATTAAATGAATTAAATAGATTGAATAAATTAAATATTTTTAATAAGGGCGAATATTTAACTATTTTAATTTATTAAATGAATTAAACAAATTAAATACATTAAATATTAATTAATACCTGAATTTGCTAAGGCTCGAATTAAATAAATTAATAAATTAAATATTTTTAATAAGGGCGGATATTTAAATAAGGGCGAATATTTAATTTATTTAATAGTTAATTAATTAACTATAAATATATATATTTCTATTTTATTGGTGTAGATTCATACTAAGAGTCAATAATCGCATTATACTGATTATTCCCTCGTACGGGGGTGGGGGGGGCAATGACGTACGGTCCGCGACGTCGAACGTTTTCGTTTATTTAACACATCTTGGGTTGCTCCTGTCGCTGTCGCTGGTTCAAGTTTTTCCAAGAACAGGCAGCATGGCTGCCCTAAGTGGTTGCTGTGCGGTCTGCCTCGTTTACATCCTGTTACTTCGTTTTTCGGGTTTCCAGGATGTTGACTGTTTAGATGGTCATTTGCAGCAGTGGTTTCGTGTTGACCCTGACTTCATAGACTCTCTGTTGCAAACCTGGTGTTTGTCCGTAGGAGGGGATCCCCTGGTGGCCGAAGTGCTGTCCACGGTGTGCATCGATGACCGGTGGTTTTTACACGTAGATGTTTTAGATCAACATGTACCTCTACTGTCTCTGCTATGGTGGACGAAGTTTGAACACCTCTTGGAGAAGCGGGAGCATGCCTTAAACACCTGTTGAACACCTGTTTGAACACCTGTTGTTTCAAGTATCCTGGGATGCTGACGGGAAAATCGTCCGAAGGCAACGCTTGGCTAGACAAGTTCGATTTTGTGTTTCGCTGTAGCGAAATGACAAAATGCCTTCAAACACCACCGAAAAAAAAGTGTAAATTTCATGGCTAGTTTGTGAGAATGAGTATTTCGCTACAGTGAAACGCAAATTTTGCTTGAAAACCATTGGAAATGAGACGTGCAAAACTTGTTTCTACTTCGTTGAATGTGCCGAAACGCAGGTTTTGAGAGGTTTTCGAACCCTGTGGTTGAATGTTGACGACTAAAAACAGCAAAAACGCAGGCGCAGTTGTCAGCCCGGCGGGTTATGTGTGTACTCATTAGGTTTATTGTATGTTCATTAGGTCTATATATATATAGACATTGGGATGCAAGGCCACAGAAGATTGGTCTGCAGGTTCTTCGTCATGATCGTTGGCGGAATGTTGGGGGTGGCCCACCCGGCGACCCCAAAGGACTGGTGAAGGGGCCAAACTCCAAACAGTCTTGGAACACGGATGTTCAAAGGAGATACCATGATATAACAGGGCAAAGGTACATAGCAAAGGATCCACTAATTGCCAAATTCTAATTCAATCAACATCACATCCGGCAAGCTACCCGATCTTTGGCTTTATCATATCTCCTCACGCGATTCACGCGATCTCTCTCTTCGGGGATGCCGATCGACCCGAGCGCGAGTTTGTCAAGGGGGTTGTTTGACCAAGATACCCACATCTACTCTTCAGGATTGACAGGGGCTGACCATACATAGTAGGATTTTGTCCGTCCATCCCCCGTTCCTATAGCTGCCATGAGTTTTGTTCAGTACTCACGCCTGATCACATGCTGGCTGTGTCTCTTTCTGCGTCCTGCGCAGACCAAGAGCAAGAGGGAGCTCATCGAATACTTGATGCAGACAGCGCCCAGAGACATGCTAGAGACTGGAGCTGCATGCTTCGGATGTCGGGGGGGAAATAACTCCTGTTGTGAAAGATCAAGCTTTGCACAAGCAGCACCACACCTTTTAGCTTGTCATCCTGAAGGTAGGAGAACACCAACATGTGCTCGTGGAAATGAAAAAAAGGTGAGGAGGAAACCAAAATGCCATGTGTGTCAATCGGGTTGAGAGCCATGCGGCTTCACGACCTTGTCAAAAATGATGTGGATCCCCAATACTGCGAAGGAGAGTTAACCCTACAGAGCAAAATTCCAGAGAGCAAAACGTCGAGACGCAACACGCCAAGTTTGCCGCTCCTAATCAGGACTCCCATATGTATCCATATGTATATTAATGTATATATATAGAGTGTTGGCCTTGCACCTGGCATGGCGTCAAAGACAAGACTTTTCCAACCTTCCAACGTTTTTCAGCCTTACAGTGTTCCTCTTGAAATTCGGATTTCGATTCGGGTGAACACTCACGCGCGGGCGTGGTCCATGGGTCAGATGTGCCAAGGCACGGCTGCGACTCTTGGGGACCGTGAAAAATGCGGTGAAGTCGAAGACCCAAGCTGAGATGCTGGAGGCGGTGAAGGAGAAACTCTGCGTTGCTATAACCCAGATGCTCGGGGTCCTTGTGGTTTCGGTTGGCGAACAGACCCAGTAGATCGAGGCGGTGAAGGAGAAGTTGCGCAGAATTCGCAGAATTCTGCGTTGTTCAAACCATGTTTGGATGGGGAGACCCAACAATCAGATGTTGGTCGGATATGATTGAGGAGGCGAATGTCACATGTCACGAAAGCTACTGTAGCATGCTAGCTGAGTTTTTCTTTGATGTAAACCGTGGTTTGGTGTTAATGGTGGTTGGCAACAACCGTGGCTGGGTGACTTGGTGCAAACGGTTCTGCTGACGCCGCTGCTGCTGCTGCTGCTGCTGCTGGCTGCTGGCTGCTTGCTGCTGGCTTGATGCTTGCTTGATGCCTGCTTGCTGCTTACTTGCTTGCTTGCTTGCGTGCTTGCTTGCTTGCATGCTTGCGTTGCGTTGCGTTCCGTTCCGTTGCGTTGCGTGTTTTGTTTTGTGTTGCGTTGCTTTGTTGCGTTGCTTTGTTGCTTGCTTTGTTGCTTTGTGCTTGCCTTGTGGCTTGCCTTGTGGCTTGCTTTGTTGCTTGCTTTGTTGCTTGCTTTGTTGCTTGCTTTTGTTGCTTGCTTTTGTTGCTTGCTTTTGTTGCCTGCTTTTGTTGCCTGCTTTTGTTGCCTGCTTAGTTGCTTGCTTAGTTGCTTGCTTTCTTGCTTTGTTGCTTGCTGTGTTGCTTGCCGTGTTGTTTGCCGTGTTGCTTGCCGCGTTGCTTGCCGCGTTGCTTGCCGCGTTGCTTGCCGCGTTGCTTGCCGTGTTGCTTGCCGTGTTGCTTGCCGTGTTGCTTGCCG